ACGAGCATGGAGCCGGGTCGGGTAAGGGTGGGGGGGGAGGAGTAGTATCCGGGGCCGAGGCAGCCCCAGGACCGCCGTCCAAAGCACCCGGCGCACCACCTCCAGAGTCAGCACCACCAATAGCAACACGGCCAGGCTCACGAGGACCCGTAGGGAGAGCACCCGCACCCCCAGACATAGCACCCCCAGGGTCAGCTCGACCAACACCAGCTCCCGGAAGACGAGAGTCGCCTACAGCCATGGGCTCAGCTCCAACTCCAGCACCCCCAAAACCAGAACCCGGCACAGGGACGCTCTCAGCACGAACTCCAACTCCTCTAGAGCTAGCACCTGCGGGGTCCTCTCCACGAACACCGGCTCCAGTAGGGTCTGCAGTAGGCTGCGAGGAGGACTGCGGGGAAGGCGGCCGCACCTGAGGGGCTACCAAGGGGGGAGGGGTAGCGTGGGACACACCTGACAGGGCTGGACCAGGGGGGGGAGGCTGTACTGGGGGAGCAGGAGGGGGAGCGGAAGTCAGGAAGAGAGGGGGAGGAGGAACCGGGAGACCTCGGCAGGGGTACCTAACGTAGTAGGGGACGGACTCGACACAACTGACATCACGGGAGTCAAAGAACCGGTGAAGGGGAGGGTGGAAAAAGGTGAAGTCAGAGGAGTCCTTTGGGAAACCAAGGAAGATACAGGGAACAGTGCGAGGCAAGATCTTTTCCGCGGATGTGTCGCGAACAAGAGCCAAGCGACCCCAGACACGAAACTGCGACGCAACACCAGGAGACCCGCTCCAATGACTAGTCGGTGAAACCTCTGGCTGAGAGACACGTGGCCAGAGGTTCAGCTGGTGAGCGGCGTACCTAACCGCGTAGGGCCACAGAAAATGGGGGGCACGGGCGTGAGTCAAGGAGGTGCGGGCGATCTCCATGACCAAGCCTATGCGGCGCTCAGCAACCCCATTCTGCTATGGGGACTCTGGAAGCGTCCAGGACTGACGAATGCCCGGTTCGCGACAGAATCCAGCGAGAACGCCGGAGCGAAGCTCACCCCCGCGGTCGGGGTGAAGACAGCTGACACGACGACCACGACTGTCCTTTGTGGTAAGCAACCACCTGATCAGCGTAGAAGTCACCTCATACTTCTTTGCCAGGGGAAACACTGTGGTGTAGCGGGAGTAGTCGTCAACAACCACCAGAAAGAAACGCTCATGCTCAGGGCCAAGGCGAGTGGCGGGGCTCCAGACGTCCAAGTGGAGCGTCTCAAAAGGCTCGGTGGCCGGACGAAGGGAGGGAGAGTGAGGGGTGGCGCACAGCCGACCCTCGACGCAGGGACCGCACGGTGGTGCAAGCGAAGGCGGCAGCGACGATAAGACACGCGGGAGGCCTAAGACAAGACGCTGACTAGACATAGCGCACAGACGAGGAAGGGACAGGTGCCCCATCCGGTGGTGCCATAGAACCGTGGGGTGGGCAAGCGACCGGCAGGAGCAAGACGCAGCAACTGGACCAGAGACGGCAACCTGACCAGACATAGCTACCTAGGGGGACGCGGCAACCTGGTGAGACGCAGGGACTAGACGGGGGGCAGGGACAGGGGTCGGGGGCAGTAGCCGCTGCTGCTGCTGTTGCACACGGGGGCCAGTGTGAAGTGTGTAGAGACCAGAGCCCGGCTCAGCGGTAAAGGTGGCGAGAGGTGCGTACGTGTCCCCGTCAACACAAACCGTAGTCTCGCCAGAAGTCTCAATCCACACACCCACGTGCTGACTCACGAGCGGCCTCGCGCCCACCAAGTTCCTCTAGAACGAGGGGATGTGGAAGCCGGTCAGAGAACCGGAGGGAACATCCAGGCATGGAAGCGTAGTAGTGTAGCGAGCAGTGACTAGTCCCGAAGTGGGATCAGCCAGTGCTACAGAGACTGGCGTGGGAAGCGGGGTAAGTGTCGTGCGGTCGCGGAAGAATCAGTGCGAAGCTCCGGAGTCCAGAGTGAAAGAAAGCGAAGCGTCCTCCGGAGCAGCTCCTGGACTAGTGTCTACACAAGTACCTACACTAGCAACAGGCAGCTCAGCAAGTCTAGCACCTAAGTTAACAAAAATCGAGTAAACAGAGTCACAAGCACTAGAGTCAACAATAGCATACATAGCATGAGGAGTTCCTAAGAGATCAACCAGCTAAGAAGTCGACATGCCCCACAAAGCGGGGCCGTACGTCTGAACAACGGGAAGCCAGTCAGGGGCAGGGCCGCCAACGCCGTAGGCCAAACGAACCGTGTCACTAAGCTGAGCAAAGCACTGACCCGGTGTGTGGCTGCGGCCACAAGGCTAGCCTCGGCGAGCACTTGTCAGAAAGTGATAGGTGCAGGGAGGGTGGACGACACCGCGTTGCAGCTGACGCTGTCCTGACCCCTGCACCGAAACCTGCTGCTGCCACTGCTGCTGCTGTGGCTGCTGCGAGGAGGGGGGCTGCAGCTGCTGCTGGTGCCGAGTCATGTACCACGCCGCTGCTCCACCCCCTGCGTCTGGCAGACCTATAGGTGGCTGACAAACCTGGGCGTCACCTCCACCAGCCGCTGCAGTGGAGTCACCGGCCGCTGCACAAGGAGCTCCTCCAGCCCCTGCACTCCCACCGCCGCCGCTCACCACGTCACCCCCACTGCCTCCGCCGCCTCCGCCCGCACCCTGACCACCCCTCCTGCCACTCCTACCCCGAGACCGCGAAGAAGTCGTAACAGCAGCTGCGGTCACGTCAGTAGCGGCAGTGGCGAGGGAGGCAGTAAAGGTGGGCAGCTGAGGGACAGTGCACCCGTGAAACAGCGGAGGGGGCACAGCACAAGAGGCGGAGGCTACGAAGCGGAGGTTGCTCTCGACGTCCTTGAGCGCAGACTCAAGGACCCCGATAGTGAGCTCACTAGGGTGCTTTAGAAGAAGCACGTCACGAACCGAGGCAAGGCGGTCAGGGAGGCTAGTGGCGATGAAATAAATAGTATTCGCCATGGGGGGAGGAAGCAGTGCAAGCTGTACGTCAGTGCAAGCTGCGCGGTAGCTCGAATCGAGCGAGCGGAGGTGAGTAATCAAGTCAGCAGTGTGCTCAAACGAGGCGAGGTCAGGAAATAGGAACGGAAGGAACAGGCGACCAAGAGAGACAGTGGTGGGAGTAGCGTAGCGGGCCTTGATCGCAGTCAGGAACTCACTAGCCGTGCGAACCTGAGTAAAGTGGGTCTCATCAGACTCAGGGAGGAGGCTGCTAAGGGCGATGCAGGCCGCAGCGTCACGCGACTTCCATGCCGTCACGTCAGCACGCTCACATGCATAACGATCTCTAGCTGCGTCGTCGGGGCCAGTGCCTAAAGGCGTAGGGCCGTCGGGCGCAGGAAGGACACCGGAAGCGTGCGTCCACAGAGACTTGCCTGCCTGGACCTGACTCTTGAGGAGGCGCTGCGCACGCAGGAGCCAGACAGAAAACTCGAACGGCCTACCGTCGGCGTCAAAGCGCAGTACCCTAGGGGTCGCCATAGCTATAGCGAGCGGGTGGAACAATCACTGCTGAAGCCCTAAACTCTGAAGGAGCCTGAGAAGGGTATGACAGGTAGTGCAAGAAGCTCAGTGCACTATAGGACGTTAGGGTAGGGTGCGGTAAGAAGGATAGGCAGCACGGGGCAACGGGCGCGGCTCGGCTGGACGGGACGGGCAGGAAGGCGCGGCTCGGCAGGACAGGGTGGCGCGGCGCGGCGGGACGGGCTGGGCACCGCGCAACGGGACGGGCTGGCGCGGCGTGGCGAGACGGGCTGGCGCGGCGCTGGCGACGCAATGGGCTGGGCGCACACGGCGCGACGGACGGGACGGACGGGGGGGAGCGCGACGGACGGGACGGACTGGGGGGAGCGCGACGGACGGGACGGACTGGGGGGAGCGCGACGGACGGGACGGACAGGGGGGAGCGCGACGGATGGGATGGACAGGGGGGAGCGCGACGGACGGGACGGACTGGGGGGAGAGCGACTGACGGGACGGACAGGGGGGAGCGCGACGCGACGGACGGGACGGGCCAAGGGGGGAGGGGGGGGGGGGGGGGGGACGCGACGGACGAACGCGACAGACGGACGCGACGGACGGGACGCGACAGACGGGACGGACGGGACGGGCGCGACGCGACCGGCAGGGCGCACGGAGCGCGACGAACGGACAGGGCGCAGCGGGGGGCGCGACGGTAGGAACGGGACGCGATGCGCAGGACGGGACGTGCGGGACGAGCGGAACGCGCGACGGGCGGCGCAGCAGGCGCTAGGGCACGTGAGAGACGAGCGCGAGAGGCGCTAAGGGACAGTACGGGCGTGACTAGCATTAAGGTACGGGGCAGGCTCGGGCGTGATGAAAGTGATCGAGAGGAACGGGATCCCACGGGATCCAAACCTAGCGGATACCATGTTAAGAATGAAAGTGTTGCATTCACAATGTTGGTTGGGGTACATAAACCTAACCCTAAGAGTTGTACCCCCTATGACACACATCACTAAGACTACAACATTTGAGATTCGCATATGGGGCTGTGTCTGACTATATACATCTAGACTGTAGCCCATGGAGGGTAAAAATCATTAGGGTTTGTAGGTACTTGTGCTCATTCATTCTTCATAGTCATCATTCCGCTGTACTCTCATTCTGGCACTCGTGGCAGGGTCTTCTTGTGGGCGACTGACGATGGTGCAACAAATTTTTGTAACATACGTACGTTGAACGCATCAAGTATGTTCATGCCGCCAGGCTGCCAGGTGCTGCGGAATATTTATGCCATAACATAATTGCGCACGAAACTGAACATGTCAGTTTCTGTTTCAGCATACTTTTGAACCACCCTGTCCGGCCAGGATTTAATGTCAGGAACAATGATAAGCAGGGTAAAAATAAGCAAACTCTTCGCTCATCAGGGAGATTACCCTTTCAACGAGAGCCCTGCAGTAGATGCGTCGTTATTGGTTTGATCATATCCAGCCAACTTGTACAGCGCGAATGAAGCACATTATGAAGGAGACAGAACGGACTGCATGCGAGCAAGTAGATTAACAATGCCAATGACCAGCACCGGCAGCAATATGCGGAACACCATGCCATATAAAGCACTTCCTTGCACTGCGCTCTCCACCACCCACCACCAGAACCCCTCAGCACTCACCAGCTCCCACACCTCTCCCAAACCTGCCCCCGTTCCCTCAGCAGCAGACCCCCCAACAGGATACCTGCTGTGAGCACCAGACATAACTGCAGCAACGGATGCAGCGACAGCAGCTACTGCCGCCACTGAAAGTGCAACGGCAAGAGACTGACCGGACAACCACATTTGATTGGGAGCAGCAGCAGCGGAGGGGGTGTATGTGCATGTGCGTGTGTTTTCCATGGGCTGAATGTGGGGAATGCAGGTTGGTGGGGTAAGGAGGGAGCTGGGTCGCGTGGAAATGAGGCTGCAGAGGAGAAAGAGCAGTGCGGCAGAGAGGGAAGCCACTGCGAAGTTGCTACAGCTGGCTGAGACAATAGTCACCCCCACGATTCCTAGGCTTAGTGCTCTAACCATTTGCCAGAAGGCGGATTGGGATATGGTCGGTGGGGAGGAGGACAGGTGGGAGGAGGTCAAGAGTGGTGAGGAGGAGGAGGAGGAGCAGGAGGAGGAGGAGGAGGGGTTGGCAGCGGTGGGAGGTGGTGCAAGGTGATGTTGGGCGGAACAGGCTGCGGTGAGATGCGGTGAAGGGGTGGAGATGAGGGAGCAGACAGTTCTAGCAACAGAAGGGCAGATGATAGACCACCAGAGAGAAACGACAATGGCCAGAGAGGAGAGAGTGGTGGTTGTCCAGAGCAGCAGGCAGTGAGTCGGGCTCGTGGGGAGGAGAAACGACGGGAGGAGGAATGAGGGGAGTGAGGGGAGTGAGAGCAGGGGAGAGGGGGGAAGCATGGGGAGGAGTGACGAGAGGAGTTGGGCGAAAGGGAGGGGATTCGGGGATGAGAGGAGGTTGTCTGAGAGGTGCTGCAAGTGGGGGGGAATGGTGGCCACAAGGGCAGCCCAAAGAAAGAGCAGGCACACGAGGGCTGCTGCCTGCACGGCTGCTGCTGTGTCGGCTGCTTTCTGCAGGGAGAAATGCACTGGACACGCGCAGGGCAGGGAGGTGGGGCTCAGAGGAAGAACGAGGCATGGGCAGGGGGGAGGCGGGAGGGTGGGGTTTTGGGGAAGGGTGGGAGCGGAGGAAAGGGGAGGCTGGGCAGGGGCTGATGTGGGGGGAGCGGCAGCGAGAGAGGACGAGGAGGAGGAGGAGGAAGAAGAAGAAGAAGAAGATGCAGAAGAAGAGGCAGCGGCAGCAGTGGCAGGGGGGGGTAACGGGAAGCAGATGGATATGAGGTGGAGGAGGAAGGGGAGGAGGAGGAGTGCGATGGGGATGATGAATTTGGAGATGGGAACAAAGCGCGTGGGCGAGAGCAGCAGGTAGTAGTAATGAGAGTGGTGCAGCCGCTCCGATAGGTTGTTGAAGCACCGAATGACAGACTCCAGCAGCATTCCTAGATGGACGTATGATGACATGTCTGCCTGCAAGTTCACCCTCAGCTCCGGACGCTTCCCCTTCCCCTTCACCTTCCCCTTCCCCTTCCCCTCCCCCTTCCCCTTGCCCTTTCCGCCCACCTTCCCCTTCCGCTCCCCCTTCCCCGTCCCCGCCCTCACCGCTCCCATCCCACCCACCCCGCCGCCTGCGGTTCCCTGGCCGGCCCCCCTCCCCCCAAGGTACCCTTGGGGAAGCACTGTGAGAGAGACTGCATCTACTTGCACCTCTCGAAACGCACCGTGTGTGCCTGACGCCCCTCCCACCAGCTGGTTCCATAGCACACGAGCCAGTCCCCTGGCCCCCTCCTCAAACTCACGCCCGCCGGTAACCACGCCCTTTACTCCCACGCTCTCTAGCCAGGCCCCCACGGTGGTTAGGGTTTCTGCAGTGCGAGAGACGGCGGTTGAGAGGAGGTCTAGGGTGGAGGACGGGAGGAGGTGGAGGAGAGGGGGAGGGAGGTCTGGGGGAGGCTGGATGGAGAGTTTGAGGGAAAGCCAAGATGAGATTTTTTGGACTGTGGCGGGCAGGTCGAGGTTTGGCATCTGCCCGTTGATTCCGTCCGCCCGAATTTCGAGCGAGTCGACGGGGCCTCCAAGCCAATCAGGGCTGGCTTGGAGGGTCACAGCCGCAATCATCATGCTGTGAGGAGCGAAGGGAGAAAGAGAAGAGGAGGATTGAGACACTTGGAATACTTGTGAAGAAGGACAGGAGCCTGACTCCTCCTCACTCGCTCGTATCCCACTCCCCCCGTTGCTGCGGCTGCTACCGCTGACGCTGCTGCCATTGCTACTGCAGCTGCCGTTGCTGCTGCAGGTGCGGGTGCTTGAGCAGGAATGGGAGGTGACGGTTGGAGGGTCGATACCACGGTATTCTTTAAGCCAGTGCTGCACAGCATGCTGAGCGCCGTAGCGAGCATCTGCAAGTAGCCACACCACGTCCTTGGCTTGCCACTGCGCCTGGGACAGCAGGCGCAGGAGAGAGAGTGCGACTGCCACTGAGAGCGCGTCGGATGGGGACACGCAGGGAGACACACCCTCGCTGCCGCCGCCGCTGCTGCTGCTGCTGCTGCTGCTGCTGGTGCGCAGGCGAGTGAAAGGCGTGACGAGCACAAAGGCCTCATCGCTGTAGCCCTGACGGGACCGGAGCACCGTGGCTATGCTCTCTGCTGCTTGCACCTGCTCCTGCTCCACAGCCTCGTCTATCCCTTCACCACCTTGACCACCACCACCAGCACCATCGCCACCATCACCATCATCATCAGAAGGGTGGGTGGAGAGGTGGGTGCGTGTGAGGCGAGAGGAGGAAGGGGACCAGACGTGCGGGTAGAGAGGTAGTTGCAAGGCCCGCAGATGGTGAGCAATCCACTCGTCGAACGAACCCCTGAGGGGAGACGGAGCAATGGAGAGAAGGGGAAAAAATACGAAGAAGATGGGGAAGCAGTTGGAGGAAGGGAGTGCGTAGGGGGATCGGATGGAAGAAGAGAAAGGGGAGGGGGGATGCGTAAAGGCGAGAGGAAGGGGAGAAGATTTCAGCGGTGCAAACAGGGGCGAAATGGCACGGAGAGAAAAAGTGCGTACAGATTTGCGCAGCCCTGCAGAAGCACAGGAGTGGGCGGTACAGAGGAGAGCGGTGGCGTGTGGAAGGGTTGAGCAAGTATGCTGGCAAGTGCAGTGGAGAGAGACACGTGAAAACAAAGGTACTGTGGAAATCGCTGCAGCGAGGTGGCGAGAGTTACCTGCTGTGTAGACAAAGGTGCTGTGGCAAGGTTACCTGTGGGTGTGCAGCGATTGCAGCAGCGCAATGGCGTAGCGGGCATCAGATTCGGAATAGCGAGGAGATGCTGAGCCTGGCAGGGGACAGAGGGCGAGGGAGAGAGAGGGTGGGGGAGGAGGGAGAGGACTGGGTGGGAGTGTGAGAGAGTAGGAAGGTGAGGAAATGAGGGAGTGGGTGAGAGGAGGGCAGAGAAGAAGAAGCAGTTGAGGCGGGATGACAATGGTGATGGATGACAACGATAATGATGATGATGATGATGATTATGTGAATGATCTCGAAAATGCTGACGTGTAAGGATGGCGTGACGTGGCAAGCGCACACCTGGCATGAGCGCGTTCTCGTCCACGTAGGTGGGTGCGCTGAGGGCGGGGAGCAGCAGCAGCAGCACGAGACCCGCTGTCACGCTCACAGCGCTGTGTGAATACACGGGAGAGAGAGAGGGAGGCAGAGGGACGCAGAGGGAGGCAGAGGGGTGCAGAGAGTGGGGGAGAGTGGAAAAGAGATTTGAGACATCTCAAAACAGCAGCAGCAGCAGCACGAGACCCGTTGTCACGCTAGAGAGAGAGAGGCCAAGGGGGAGAACGAGAGAGGCCGAGGCGGAGAGAGAGAGAAAGTGTACCAGATAATGCCGGACAGCCAGACCGTACCAGATAATGCCGGAGCGACGGAGTGCGGCCGCCACGAGTCGGCCCAGCACCAGCCTGATCCGCTCGCGCGCAGTCGCCATTGCCACTCTCCCGTCACCGTCACCGTCACCGCCACCGTCACCGTCTCCGTCGCCGGCGCAAGAGATCTCTTTAAACGTGCCGCCTTCTCCTCCTTTCTTCTTCCGTTCTCTCCTTAATTAACTCTCTGGGAATGTCACAGACTCTGATCGCTCATCCCCGCGCCTTACGCCGCAGAAATCCCGGCCGAGTTGTAACACCCTTGACAATTAGCCCGGCTAGTTATCCCGTTTCCAATCCTCTCGACTAGTGGCACCCTTAGCCCGCATTCGTACGGAACCTCGAAGCTTCCGTGCCCGCGAATCGACTGTGCGACTACAGATGCATTTGCGATCAGCACCGATGGATTTCCAGAAGCGATCATGGAGATCCCAAGGGATCAACCCACCGTGCTTGGAATACGCGATAAAGGTTCAGTTTCTGTAGAATGTTACTGTACCTCCTTATTGCTACAAGCTCTCGATTTTCCTTGGCATTATACCTATTTTTTCCCCACTCATAAACATTTCAAAATTCTGTGTCAGAAAATGAGGAATGAAAACCAAATGCTGTTCAGCGTCTAGACAGCTGGACAACAGCAGGCAGACGAGACAGCAGCGGGGAAGCGGTGAGCCATGGACGCACTCTAACGGCTACCTGACGGTTACGTAGCGGCTAGATAACGGCCACGGCGCACGCGACTCGAGATGAGCGCCGCTAACGGCAACGCGTCTCTGCTCTCCTGCCTCCTCCGCAGCGCCGCGCGCCCAGCGGGAATTTCCTGCCGCACCCGCGATCCGCTCCTTCGCTCTCTGCCTGCTCGCGTCCCTCCTCCCACCGCCGCCGCCGCCGCAGCCGGAGCCGGCGCCGGCGCCACCACATCCTCTGCGATTCTAACGGCAAATCAGATCTCCGCGCCGCGATCGGCCACTGCCATGTACATCCGCGCGGCGCCGCGTTACCGCGGGCCGTGCCACGTGTGCAGCTGGCAGCCGCTCGCGCGCGGCGGGCTTCTCGACCCGCACCGCGACAGCTGCGCCCTGGGACGGTTTATTCCCCTCGCTTCCCTCCGCGTATCCTCGCCCTCCTCTCGCCTTTCGTTCTTGCGCACGAGTGGCGAGCTCAAAGGCAGCAGCAGCTATAGCAGGAGCAGCGGTGGTGGTGGTGGTTCTGGTGGTTCGTGTGGGGTTGGTGGTGGTAGAACTAGTGGTTTGGGTAGTGGTGGTGATGGTGGGCGTGTTACTTGCAACGCTGCAGGGAGTGGTGCTGAGGGATGGGGGAAGGGCGGAGGAGAGGCATGGGGAAGTGGGCGGGGGAAAGGGAGAAGCTTCAGCGGCAGGGCAAGGGGCGGTGGTAGCTGGCTGGGCGATGGGGGTGGAGGGTCGGTGATAGGCGTAAGATGGGAGGAGGAGAGTGCGGAGGAGGAGGGAGAGGACGAGGAGGATGAGGAGGAGGGGGGTGGAAAGGGGAGGAGAGGCAAGGGTGGGAGGAGGGGGACGAGGCAAAGGGGGGCGAAGAAGCAGGAGCAGATGGCAGTAGCAGAGGCATACAGGCGGCACTACGTGGCTGCTGTCACTGCAGAGAAGGTGTGACATTAACGAGGATGCGTAGAAGGTGGACATTATAACGAGTATGCACAGGTGTTGGTTATAGCGAGAATGCAGACTGGTGACTGTAGCGAGCAGAGGATGTTCGTAAAGAAAGTGACTCTCACAACCTACATTCTCGAGAATTCTCAAAGGGAGGGTGGCCAACTCTCTCTCTCCCCCCGCACCCCCCACCCCGCTTTCCGTCCCTCTTCCCCCTCCCCCTCCCCCTCCCCCTTCCCCTCCCCCTCCCCCTGTGCGGTGGGGGGCAGGAGGACGAGCTAGCGGCATGGCAGCAGCGCATGGGCGGGTGGTCTAGGCAGCGGCTGGCAGAGGAGGGCTTTGCTCTCTTCAACCTCTCCGCCTCGCCCAAGGGCCGCTTCTTCAAGTGCGCCTCTCCTCTGCTCCTGCCCTCACATGCCCGCTCCTGCTCCCTCCCGCTTTCCCATGCTCTTACTTGCTCTCCCTCATCCCCGCTCCTGCCATTTCTCCTCCTCTGTGTCTGTCCGCCTGCCTCCCTGTGCATGGAAGCTTAGTTGGAGTATACGCGTTTCGCGTTTTATACGCTAGCGTATAAACGCAGTACGCAGCTTTGGAGGGGTCTAATACGCATTGAAAACGCAGGGCCGGGCAGGGGTAAAAAAAGTTTCGGGCAGGTGAATTTTTTTGGGTTAAGATGTGGGGAAGGGGGTGGTGCAAGGCACCATCACCTCCCTTCCCCTTTTTATTATAGGGCAGGTTACATGCACACAACATTTTGCCTACATCACTAGACCCCCTACCCCACCTCCCTTTCCCTTCCCTTTTTCAGGAATCACTACACTTCATAGGCCCATCCCATCCCATCCCATACCACCCCCTCCCCACATGCATGTCTATGCATACTCATCCTCAAGAACCATGTCCTCTTCCTCCCCAACCTCCTCCTCCGCCCCATCCTCCTCCACCTTGTAGCCCTCGGGAATGGGCGCCTCAGGAATGTTGCCCTTGACCACCCGCTGCCCCTCAGGGACCTTGTACCAATTGTGCACAACCTGCCAGTTGTGCACAACATATACGAGGTCCCTGCACTTCTCGGACCCGAGGCGGTTGCGCCTTGCCGTGTGGACCGCGTCCCACATGGACCAATTGCGCTCACAGGGCGACGCGGACACCGGCTGCGAAAGGTTGCGGATTGCGCACGTAGCAAGGTGGGGCACATCTGTGCCGTGCCAATTCCACCACTGGACGGCCGTCATCTTCCCCGCCTTCACAGCCGCGCGGTCTTCCAAGGCGGTGGGCAGCCCGAAACTCCCCTGCAGGGTCAGGTATGCCGTCAGTTCCTCCTGCAGCACAAGAGAGGCTCGGCGCTCCTCGCCGTCGCTCGCGGTGATGGTGAGGTGGTCGTAGTGCTTGGCGATGTAGCCCTTCAGCACGCGCGTGCATTCGATGTCGTTTCTGAAGATGCCCTCCTCTTGGTTGACCGGATTCAAGATCCTGCCAACCACATGCAAGGGGCACGCTAAGCACTTATCCCACCTATCCTTCACGATGAGGCGGATCTCCTTAACCTCCGCCCTCGTCAGGTGACCCGCGGAGTGCTCCTCGAGGATTGCATCCACGTCCTCGGTGAGCTGCAGCATGGCGTCGTAGAGGCGCCCCATCATCCCCTTTGTCGCAGCATCCGTAGCCCGCATGACGGCGAACGGCTTCGCCATGAGCTTGGTGAAGAACTCGGCCTTCTTCCACCAAGCCTCGTCCATGATGTGCTCGCAGAAAGTGTCCGCGCTTTTACTCCTTGCCCCTGTTGCCCACTCCTTCCATTCATCGCTTAAAACCATCTGCACGAGGGCAGCACGGACTTCGAAAAGGCGGGAAATAGCGATGAATTGCGTCCCGAAGCGAGTGCCCGCGGGTTTCAGGACCTGCTTGCCCTTCTCGCCCTTGACCTCGGAGCTTCGCAAATACCCCCGCGTGAAGTGGTGGTTGCGCGTGAAGGTGATGATCTCTCCCCCGCGGGTGACAAGGTTCTTCGCCCAGTCCATCTTCCCCACGTCCTCCATCAACAGATCGAGGACGTGGGTAGCACAAGGTATGTACTCAATGTGGGGGTAATCCTCCATCAGCTCCCTGCACGCCACCGCATAGTTCGAGCCGCCGTCCATGCAAAACGCCACCACATTTTCCGGTCCGACTTTCTTGAGAATGGGACGGAGAAGCCCCGCGATGTAACCTCCTGTCTTCGATTCCATCGGTGTGTCGATTGTCTCAGCGAAGACCGCGCCACTGTCGTTGATCAGAAGGACATTGGCTTGCGGACGGCCGTTATGATCAGTCATCATGTCGCTTGACACCGTTACGCCATCCCGCCGCCAGCTCGCCGCGATAGGAGCAAGCGCCGCCTCAATGCGCTTACGACATTTCTGGAGCCCGACGCCGCCGACGTAGCGACGCCTCGGTGCGAGGTAGCCTTCGCCCGCACGCGCAATGCAGGAGACCATGTTGCGCCAAACAGGGTGGTCCGCGTGGTGTATGGGGAGGCGCAGAGCAGCGAACGCGAGGCAGATCGACTCGTCGGCATCGTTCTTCTTGCAGGCTGACGCATCGCCGTAGAAATCGGTCATGCGAGACTTCTTCGCCTCGCCAGAAGCACCGAAAACTGCAGCAACGGCCGAGACTTCAGCCGCGCGCTTCTGGTCCCGGGTCCTGGACTTCGTCTCGTACTGTGACTTCACTCCATCCCGCGCGGTCTTGGGAGCTTCCTCGCAGAGGCGGATTTCACGACGCCGCATACCCTTCCAGCTGGTGATGTGCTGAGCAGCGCGGTACATACCGCCCGTGAACTTGTGGCGACAGTACATGCACACCTTGGTGGCGTGGTCGCTGTCGTCGCCGGCTTTCACAAGGAAATGCTTGTACACAGCATGGGTTTCGTGCATGATAACCAGACCGGCGCTGGTTTCCTCAACAGAACTAGCATTAGGAGCTGCAGTAGGGGTAGAGGTACTAAGTGTTGCTGCAGGAGGGGTCGCCATACTGAAAGGCGAGCTAAAGAAGAGAGCTAAACTGAGTAATGAAAGTCGAGTGGAAAGACACGACATTTATGGTAGGAATGGTGGGTGGGTTGAGGGGGACTCACCTCAACATTGTATTTGAAGAGGTTGGAAGTGAACGGGGTACAAGGGGGTTTGCAATGGTTAAGGGTGGGTTTGGTGCGACTCGGTTTCAAATTTCGAATTCGGGGTTGCACTCGCGACGTGCGAAACCCCACACTTGAATCGCCATGTCGCTAAACGAAACTCAAATTTTGATTTTTTTTTCCCGGTCTGCCCGAGCGTTTTTCAGCGTTTCCGAACCAAAAACGCAGCGGTCGTTTTTTTAGCGCGTATAAACGCAATACGCAAAATGTTCAGAGCGTATACTCCAGCTAAGCATGGAAGCAGCATATGGTGCTGCATGTGCTGTGACTCGCACGCACTACCTCCTCGTCTGTCTTGTGTGTGTGAGCGCAGCGCAGCACATTGATGTGGGCACCACCCTGCGTGTTGTGCTGCGAGCACTAGTGTGTGTGGTGTGGCCCATGTCTGCCTCCCTCCCTCCCTCCCTCCCTGCCTCCCTCCCTGCCTCCCTCCCTGCCTCCCTCCCTGCCTCCCTCCCTGCCTCCCTCCCTCCCTGCCTGCCTCCCTCCCTGCCTCCCTCCCTGCCTGCCTGCCCGCCCGCCTGCCTGCCTGTGTATCAACCTCCCGTGTGCAGGAAGCGCATAGTGCAGTTCGCATTGGCTCCAGCACATGGAAGGCAGGGTGCTGCCGGGAGGAGTGGCACAAGCAGCGGTACAGGCGGTGCGGGCAGCGGTGGTGGCGGTGGTGTGGGTAGTGGGTTGCTGCCTCAGCATCACTTGCTCTCCCAGGTGAACACACCATCACACACACACACCACACGATCGTGACACGCCCACGTGACACGCCCAAGTGCACGCCCACGTGACACGCCCATGTCTTCTATCGCACTTCCCTCCTGCTTCCCCTCTTCCTCTCTCTAGCAAGCATGCACTCGCTTGTGGTACTTTTGAGAATTCTCAAAAGTCGTAATCTGCGATGGCCTGTGCTTGCCTTCCTCCTCCGCTTTTTTTTCATGTATTTCCTATCAGCAGCACCATCTCACATTTGCTGTCGTGCAGGAATCACTCAGCTCCTCTCATACTTAGGGTATCTCATGAACTACTGTTGCCTTGCCTTGCCATGCCATGCAATGCGGTGCCATGCCGTTCCATGCCATGCCATGCCATGCAATGCGGTGCCATGCCGTTCTGTTCCATGCCATGCCATGCTACACCCCATGGGCACATGCATGCATGTGTGGGCACTGGGCAGGGAGACCTGGTGCTGGTAAATTCTAGCAGCGTTGACACCATTGACTTGGAGGACTCGCTGGAAGGAGTGGTGCTGGAGAGGGCTCGCAGGTACGTGTGTTCCCTTCTGGTTTCTGAGACGTTCCAAATATAGAGAGGTCTTGAACCGCACTCACCCCTGTGACGATCTGTGTTACAGAGGGTGACACCTCGCCCCACCGCATCTCACCGCGCCGCACCACACCTCACCTAACCTCACCTCACCTCAGTCTGTTGCGCTCACCTCCCTTTGCTTCCCTTCCTCACCTTTCCTCCTCTCTGATGCACTTTCGCTTTCAACTCTGTGCTTCTCCTCCTCCTCCTGCCACCCCTCCCTCCCATCCAGGTACCTGCTGGTGGTGATGGCTCCTCAAGACGTTGCCACACTTTCTCATATGAACTAACTACCCCTGCGCCCCACTTCTTCTCGTTTCCTCCCCTCCAATGACCTCCCCTCCAACAGGTACCTTCTGGTGGTGATGGCTCCTCAAGACGTCGCCATGCTCTCTCCCATAAACCACCCCTGCCTTCTTGAGACGTCTCAAAAACACCCCTGCCTTCTCCCCATCTCTTCCCCCCCAATCACCTCCCCTCCTACAGGTACTTGCTGGTGGTGATGGCTCCTCAAGACGTCGCCACACTTGCTCAACTGGACCAGCCCCTTCGTCTAGACCTCACCCTCAACACCGTTTCCTTTGACTGTGCGATTGATGTGGTTACCACCTTCTCCTCCCTCTCCCCCTCGGCGGTGACTCTCCCTGGTGCTGAGGAAGGGGAGCGAGGGGCTGGGGGGAAGGGGAGGGGGAGCGGGGGGGAGAAAGGGAGGGGGAAAAGTGGGGGAAAAGTGGGAGAGAAGGCAAGGGGAAGAGGGGAGGAGGGCGTGATGGTGGGTGAAGGGGCGATGGCTGTTTGGCGAGTGCTGATTGGTTCTGCTATGCGTGCAGGGCGGGAGGGGGTAGCGCTGCAGAATGAAGGTGCGACAATTACAGGAGTGGGTGGTGGAGTGAGGAGAGGAGGTAAAGGAGGAGGAAGGGATGGTGGTGGGGTTGCAAGAGGGGATGACACGGCTGCTTCGAGCGCTGTTGCTGCAGCAACGGCCGCAGCAGCAGCAGCAGCGGCGGCGGCAGCAAAAGCAAGGGGCGGAGGAAGAAGGGCAGGATCGCCTTCCTTTGACTGGCAGTCTGCATTGGGACCAACAACAGCAACAACAACAGCAGCAGCAGCAGCAGCAGTAGGAGTAGGAGTAGCCACACAAGACCCTGAAGCCCTTGCATATGCCAAACGGCCGCCCACAGGGTTCCTCCCGCTGCTATCCAGCAAGAAGAAAAGCTCTGGGTCAGAGTCAGCAGCGGCAGCAGCAGCAGGGGCCGCAGGAGAGTTGAGAGGGCGAGTGCGATCAGTGTTGCGAGAGATGCAGGCAGAGAGAGAGAGCAGGGGAGAGGGGGATCGAGACGGAGAGGGAACGGGAGAGGGAGAGCGAGAAAGAGAGAAAACGGGAGAGGGGGAGCGAGGGGGGAAAAGGGCGAGGCTGAACGCGAGTCAGGCTGCAGCGATAGAAGTGGCGATGGGGAGGAGGGTGACGCTGTGGCAGGGGCCTCCTGGGACGGGTAAAACCGCCACCTTGCTGCACCTCATGGCTCTTGCTAGACGCGTGCTGGGGCAGGGAGAGGATGGGGAGGGTGGTGGTGGACAGAGGAGGGGCGCGGAGAGAGGAGGTGGTGGTGGGCGGAAGGGCGGAGTGGGAGTGGGACGTGGTGGGAAGAAAGGAGGGGAGCGGGGTGGAGGGGGGGGAGAAGCGGGAGGGAGGATTGTGGGGAAGGTGCTGGCTGCGGCAGATAGGTGAGATGGGGATGGGGGATGGGTGACATAAGTAGGGGTGAGATGCGGGTGGGTGAAGAGTGGTGAGGGAGAAGGAGGTAATAGCCACATGGAGGAGTTAATTGTTGGTTTTCCCGCCAACCCTTTGCTGTGCTCATCCCAAGCACACACACACACACAGTGCCACACTCGACTTCCCGTGTTCTCTCCACTCTCCCCTCCTCCCATTGCCCATTCAGCTTTCGCAATTGCCATCTGGCAGTTCCCCCCCTTAACCCCCACCCTCTCTTCCCGTCCTCCCCTTGATCCTTCCCCCCACCAACAACGTGGCAGTGGATAACATGGTGGAGGGGTTGCTGGGCATGGGCTTGCTTGCAGGTGGGGTGTGAGGCGAGCACACCCCCCCTCCCTCCGTGATCCTTCTTCCATCCCCCCCGCCGGTTTCCCCCCTTGATCATCCCCCCACCAGCAACGTGGCGGTGGATAACATGGTGGAGGGGCTGCTGGGCATGGGCTTGCGCGTGGTGCGCCTGGGCCAGCCAGTCAAGGTAGGTCAGTCAACGCTGGTCAAGGTCAGTCAACGCATGTTCCTGCTCTCATCCACAGGCGAGGGAGTCCCTGCGGCAGTGCACCCTAGGCGATGCGCTAGTGGATGGAAGCCCACCCTCTCACACACCACACGGCATACTCCATAAGTCATGCACCCCACACCAAGACACACACACACACACACACACACACCACAACCATCTTCCCACACACACAGGCCAAGGAGTCTCTCCGCCAATGCACGCTAGGCATTCTGGTGGAGGCCCACCCTCTCACGCAGCGAGCGGTGCAGCTGCGGCGGCAAGCCATGGCAGCGAGGGAGCACACCCCATCCCATGCATCAAACCCTTTCCGCCCTCATCCACACAGGCAAAAGAGTCCCTAAGGCAGTGCACTCTAGACGCGCTTGTGGAGGCCCACCCTCTCACGCAGCGAGCGGTGCAGCTGCGACAGCAGGCCATGGCAGTGCGGGAGCAGGGCCGGGCGGAGAGGAACGAGGGCCGGCGCAGGAGTGCAGCACAGGAGGCCACACGGGTTTGGGAGGCGGCAGATGCGACTCAAGACGCCGCTGCTCTTGATGTGCTGGAGAGGTGGGTGGGTGGGTGGTTGGGCTGGTAGGTGGATGGGGGAAGGTGCGGCTAAGGGAGTGTGGGGAAGAGAGGATGGAGAGGATGGGCGAGCAGCAAAGGAGGCCACACGCGTGTGGGAGGCCGCAGAGGCAGCTTCAGATGCTGCTGCTCTTGATGTGCTGGAGAGGTGGGTGCGTGGGTGAAGCACGAGCGAGGGAGAGCCAAGCGAGAGTGAGATGGACAGGGATCGGGATCGTGGGTGTTTGCGTGTACTGTACTGCAGGCAGGGTGGTGGTGGTAGCGTGCAGTTTGGAATGGACCAGCCATTTGATGGTTTGCCAGGCTCTCTGCATGTGCATGCACATATACGCATGTGCTGTTCTTGCCCATGCTTCCTTCCACCTCGTCCCTGCCTCCCTGCCTCCCTCCCACGCGCAGAGCGGATGTGATAGCAGCAACGTGCGTGGGGGTGGCTTTTGAGGCGCCTCAATACAAGCGTGCGCTGTTCCTGCCCGTGTGTCCACCACATCACACCACGTCGCCCCCTCTACCCCTGCCGTGCACAGAGCGGATGTGATAGCGGCAACGTGCGTGGGGGCGGGGGATCCCGTGCTGAGCATTCTCCTTTTGAGGCGCCTCAAAACTCCGCCTCCCTGCCTTTCTCCCTGCCGTGCACAGAGCGGATGTGATAGCAGCAACGTGCGTGGGGGCAGGGGATCCCGTGCTCAGCATTCTCCTGAGCCGCCACCCGTTGGCCTTTGCTCTCTGTATCATAGATGAAGCCACTCAGGTGAGCTCATGCTTTGTCAGCAACTTATTGTGAGCCATCACTCACTCAGGTGAGCTCATGCTTTGTCAGCAACTTATTGTGAGCCATCACTCACTCAGGTGAGCTCATGCTTTGTCAGCAACTTATTGTGAGCCATCACTCACTCAGGTGAGCTCATGCTTTGTCAGCAACTTATTGTGAGCCATCACTCACTCAGGTGAGCTCATGCTTTGTCAGCAACTTATTGTGAGCCATCACTCACTCAGGTGAGCTCTCACACACTAAGCTCTCGTCCCTCTACCCACCACTTCCATTCCTAGGCCACATAGCCAGCACCGCTCATTCTCAACGCGGCCACCAGAGCAGCTCTCTTTCACTCCACCCAAAAACTTCCTCGGATCTCCTCCGTCCAGATTCATATCGGGAGTAGCAGCAAACCTGTAAACACGCTTAAGCAAAAGGATCAAGACTGTAAAACTTGCTCCTAGAATTTTTTAAAAAATCTCAAAGCCTCCAAGCAGCTCTCTTTCACTCCACCCAAAAACTTCCTCGGATCTCCTCCGTCGGGCTCCCCCTCGCATTTCCCCCCCTCTCTCCTCCCTCCCTCTTCCCTTCAAGTCCACAGAGCCAGCGACGCTGATCCCCATCTTGGCCAGCAGAGCGAGCAGTGTGGTGCTTGTGGGCGACCCCATGCAGCTCCCACCCACTGTCGTTTCACAACGGGCCCTGCAGGTGGGTGGGTGAAACAACGGGCCTCCCACTGCCTGTTTGCGGGTGGGTGGGGGTGGTGTGGTGGCTGGTGTGGTGGGTGGGTGTTGGTTGGGTGGTGAGAGGAGCGAGCGCAATAGTGAGAGGAAATAGTCTATCAGAGCCATGTCGAAACCATCGTTCGTACCCCATGCATTCGTGAGAGTTTTCAGACGTCTCAGAACTCCATGCATCCATCAGAGGGCCATGCAGGTATGCGTATGCTTGCTTGTTGTGTCTGTGTACATGTGTGCGCTGCGCAGGGCATTGCCCAACATTACTGCCCTTACATGGAATGTATGCTACAGTGTAACTTTTGAACAATCTCCAAAAGTGATGCTAATCTACCCGGCTCACATGCCATGTGTGTGTGTGTCTGTGTGTGTGTGAGAGCACTCCACACAGTACTGGTATGTCCTCTCACCTGACCAGGCCTTTTCCTCCCTCCCCTCCACCTGCCCTGCCCAGCTAGGGCTGGATCTGTTGTTCTCACACCTGCAGAGCCACGGCTTATAGCCACTGCTGCTCGACACACAGTTTTTGAGGCGCCTCAAAAATGTCCTCTCACCTGATCTGACCGAACCTTTTCCTCCCTCCCTCCCCTCCACCTGACCTCCCCAGCTAGGGCTGGACGTGCCGCTGTTCTCGCGCCTGCAGAGCCATGGCTTGCAGCCACTGCTGCTGGACACACAGTACCGGTACGTGCTTACAGGGTGGTGGGACAGCCGGTGGGTCCCTCCCTTATTCCTCCCACCGCTACTACTGCAACCACTGCTACTGCTGCTGCCACCCACCTCTGCTGCTGCCACCTCTGCTGCTGCAACCGCTGCTGCTGCAACCGCTGCTGCTGCAACCGCTGCTGCCGCCACTGCTGCTGCTTGTGGGCAACCCCATGCTGCTAGACACACAGTACTGTACGTACTTGGATAGCCTTTTCTAATCGCTCCTGTTTCTCTCTTTGCGTCCTCTCACTCCACCCCACTCCTGCCAGCATGCACCCATCCATAGCAACGTTCCCCTCGGCTATCTTCTACCACCACCGCCTCCTCTCCTTCCCCACTCCGCAAGACCGACCCGCCCCTGCAGGGTGAGTGATTCTCTCTGCTTTCCTGCTCCTCGCTCTGCCTGCTTCTCTCTTGTCCTGCTCTTCTTTCCTCTCTCAGAAATATCAGCGTTGTAGTATCTCTCTCAGAAATATCAGCGTTGTAGTATCACCGTTGTACTATCAGCGTTGTAGTATCACCGTTGTACTATCAGCGTTGTAGTATCACCGTTGTACTATCAGCGTTGTAGTATCAGCGATGCAGTATCAGATTATCCTGCTCATCTGCTTCATCTGCAACACGCAGTCATCCTTTCCTCCCCCCCTTGCCTCCCCCCCCATCCCTCCCCCTTTCCCTTCCATTCCCTTCCCTTCCCTTCCTCTTCCCCTCCCTCCACTTTCCTCCCCCTCCATCGCCTTCCCCTTACCCTCCATCCCCGAACTCAGCTTCCCCTGGCCCAGCCCCGCCCACCCCATCGCGTTCATAGACTGCAATGGCGTTGCAACGCCAAGCAGCAGCCCCACCACTACCGCCACCACCACCGCCACCACCAGCACCAATATGGCGGCACGCGAGTCGCTGGAGGAGAGTCCGGGAGACTCCACTTCCTGGATGAACGCTGCAGAGGCGGAGCAGGTGAGAGGGCAACATGTACGGTATACACGCTACTGTCGATTTTATGCTGAAGGTTTTTCGAAGCTGCGGCTAGCCCAGTCCACATGGGTGGAGGAGATTTCGAAAGACTCCACTTCCTGGATGAATGCTGCAGAGGCGGAGCAGGTGAGGCGGAGCACGTGAGAGGGAACAGATGAGGGGGAACAGGTGGAGGTGAGCAGGTAGGGTCCATGAGTGAACGGAACACTGGGTGGGGCACGGGGTGGGAGGAACAGGGTGAAAGAATATGGGGGAATGGGTGAATGGAGGGAGTGAGGAGGGGGAAAGGAGGGGCCATTGAGTTCCAAGTCTCAATTTCCGTTTTTTCTCCTTGTGTGCTATTATACTCATTGCCCCCGTCTCGGTTGTTTGTATGTGTACCCCCGTTTCTGTGTATGTGTTTATGAATATGTGTGTGTATGTCTTTGTGTATGCGTTTCATTGGTTCCATTGCCGCATGAACCCTTGATTGCTCTCTGTGCAGGTGGTAGTGCTGGTGAAGAGTCTACTGGCTGCTGGTGGCATGGCCAAGGGATGTGAAGACATCGGCATCATCACACCATACAGGGCACAGGTGCGTATGTGTGTCTCTCTCTGTCTTTGTGTGCACTTGCGCGCTTCTCTTCATGCTTCCGCTTATGCTTGTGACACATACTCTTGCAGAAACGCACACCACCCACACCACACGCACGCGCGCACCACTAATGCCCTCTCAGAGAATTTTTTTCAGCCCACCACAACGTATGCCCCCTCCTTCCAAGCCAGATCTCAGGCCCAATCCTTCCCTCCCGTCCCTTCCCCGACGCCTCCTTCCTTCTTTCCTTCCTTGACGCTATGCGTGTAGGTGAATTTGATTCGAGGCATGCTGCAGAGGGAAGCTCAGGCCTTGGGAGGCGAGGGAAGCAGGGCAGTGGGGCGGGGTGGAGTGCGGTTGGCGAAGGTGGATTTGGAAGACGTGGAGGTGAAGACAGTGGACGGGTTCCAAGGACGCGAGAAGGAGGTGAGGCGGGGGGGGGGGGGGGGGGGGGGGGGGGGGGGGGGGGGGGGGGGGGGGAGAGGAAAGGTGAGGCATGCCAAGAGAACAACAAATCAGGCGACTGTTGCATGCAAAGTGCGCTCGACTGTGAAAGCCTCTCAACCGCAAGGCTCACTCAAATGCTGTGCATGCTGTCTTCTTTCTCTCACACATACAGTACACCCCAATCCTCCATCCGTCCGCCCTGCTTCCCCCCCTTCGTGCCAACCAGGTGGTCATCGTATCCACGGCACGATCCAACCCCATGGGGCCTCATATTCCACCACCGTACACCCATCCTCCCCCTCCGCACTCACCCCCCCCTTCCCCCGTCACTCTCCGCCACGCCCCTCCCCTGTCCCCCCACCAATCGTCTCCACAGTGCGATCCAACCCCGTGGGGTGCATAGGCTTTGCGCACTGTACAAAACTTCCCGCTCCCACCTCCCACCTCCCCACTCCCCACTCCCCCCCCCCTCCCCCGTCCCCCCACCAGGTGGTCATTGTCTCCACGGTGCGATCCAACCCCGAGGGGGTGCATAGGCTCTGCATGCAGTGTGGCTTCTCTGACACGTGCGCCCCACACCTCCATCCATCCGCCCTGTCCTCATGTCTGTCTCGTGCTTTCCCCACCAGGTGGTCATCATCTCCACAATGCGATCCAACCCCGAGGGCCCGTCTATTCCACGCTCCTTTGCTCCTTACCACCCGATTCCTCCACTCCCCTGCTCTCCCCACTCTCCTCCCCCATCCCCCCACCAGGTGATCATCGTCTCCACGGTGCGATCCAACCCCGAGGGGGTGCATAGGCTATTCTTGCAGCTTCGTTTCTTTGATACATACATGCACCCCACGTCCCCCCCTCCCCCCCGGCCACATCAGGTGATCATCGTCTCCACAGTGCGATCCAATCCCGAGGGGCGCATAGGCTTTGTGGCAGACGCACGGCGCCTGAATGTGGCCATCACACGCGCCCGGAGAGGCCTGCTCGTGGTCGGCAGCCGGGCCACTCTCTCCTGCGACCCTCTCTGGTCGTTCTGGCTCGCCCACCTGAACCACCTGCATGCCTCATCTGAGGAGAAGCGCTAGCTCCTAGTGCAGACACGCGACATGTCTCACAAGAGGCCTGCTGGTGCTTGGCAGCCAGGCCACTTTCTCCTGCGACCCTCTCTGGTCGTTCTGGCTTGCCCACCTGAACCACCTGCATGCCTCATCTGGGAAGAAGCGCTAACTTCCAGTGCAGATTCTAGACACGTCTGCTCTGCAGGTCTCAGAAGAGAGGCCTGTTGGTGGTTGGCATTCATGCCATGCCACGCTCTCGTCTCCTCTCCTCTCCTCTCCTCTCCTCTCCTCTCCTCTCCTCTCCTCTCCTCTCCTCTCCTCTCCTCTCCTCTCCTCTCCTCTTGCCATTCTCTCTGCCTTTCCCACCCGCACCACCTGTATGCCTCGTCAGGGGCGAAGCGTTAGCGTCTGCTGCAGTCTCACTCAGTCGCCTATCACTGTTACCTAATGCAGTAGCAGTACCAGTAGCATGTTTGCGTCTTGTTCATGCTTGTTCTTTCGCTAGGTCCGCCAATGGCTTGATACGGTACATTCTTAACGTGCATTGATTTACAAAGGATTAACATTCTTTGCCTGCCGTTTCTTGGCTTATCCAAACGCTTCCCTTTCATTCCATCCACATCATTTGAAAGCACATTCTTTTGAGAATTCTCAAAAAGCGGCTCAGGTACGGTATGAGGCCAATCTCAGGACCACACCACACCCACATCTGTTGGAAACAATAAGTCCTAAGTGCGCTTCTGTCGTATCAAAATCCAAGGTACCAAGCGAAGCAGTCCCAATCGAAGAATCGAGTCAACCTCGGAGGTTAGGGTAACCGCCTGGAGGTTACGAGAAAGTCAAAGGTCGCTGACCTTTGACTCGACAATTACAGCGCGACAGTTAAGGACACACAACTGACTCGTTACAGAGCAGTTGCCCGAGTCGCGCTATATCGAACCGCAACAGCAATACAGTTATCTATTCCCTGTACTCTTATATAAATCCTTGTATTTGCTTGTTTAATTCAATCAACTTTGCTCTCACACACCAGTGCAAGGTCGGTTCAAATTCTTCACTAAACGCTTCCGCTATTACAACTACTTCACCTAGAGTTATCCCTTGCAAAGATCCTAAGGGGCTATCTCAGCCCAACATGGTATGAGAGCAGACAAGGGAAACTCTACTCTTTTTTCAATATCATTACAAGACATGGCAACAAACAAGGAAAGGAGCTCCCCTAATGGCTCCTCGGGCACTACTCCTACTCCACCGTCAGCCTCTGGCCTGCAGACAGAAGAAGGCACGGCAACAAGACCAAGAGGAACGTCAACCGAGACCCCCATGAACCACCCTTCGGACTTTGACCAGAACATGATGGAGAAATTTTTCTCCTTCATGTCCTTCTACGAACAACACCAGCAGTCGGGACCTGCACAAACACACAACAGCAACAACGGAGCGACACCCATGAGTCTTGATGGGTCGTCATATGCGCGAGGAAACCAGCAGCAGCAACCTACCTTTGCTCCGTACGAGCGCGGGTCAATCAGCTTCGTGCCCCACCCGCAACCTTCACCTGGACAAGAAAGACCACTGGACGCACTTCAAGTTCAGTCGCAGTTTGCACACGTCTTAAAACTGCAAACGTCAAGACCCTTCGACGGCAAAGACTTCTTTACCTGGTCCTTTGAATTCGAGCTGATGATGGAGGGCGCGCAGATACTCGGCTTCTTCGACGGGTCCCTGCAGTATCCAGCCAACGGGACACAATATGAAAAGCAGCAGTATACGTATCAATCAATGATGGCGTATACAATCCTATTGAGGAATGTGACACCAACTCAGCAGCAGAACATTCGCTCTTACCGGACCTTCGGCAACTCGGCGGAGCTCGCGTACAGCCATCTGAAGAACCTGTATCAAGCAACAGACAGTGTAAACCAGAGCAGGTTAATGGCGCAGTTGACGACAGTCGAAATGAAACCAGGAGAAAAAGGACTGGCGTATATCAGCCGATGTCGCGAACTGCGCGACAAGCTGCTTCGATGCGGAGGGTCAATCTCTGAAGACGCCTTCGTGACAGTCATCATTGGTGGGCTTGGTCCTCAGTGGCGCGCCACCAAAGCCATTCTTCGAGCCCACGGAAGAATCTCTGAAGCTGCACTCTGCGCCGAAATACATGCCGAGCAGCAAGATATGGACCTGCAGGAAGAACGACACAGGAAGAAAACGACAGTATCAGAGTTCGCATTCCACACTCAACGACGACACAGCAATTATAACAACCGACAGCAGCAACCGAAGATAGTACCTCCCTTCTGCCACATCTGCAAGACTTCAGGGCACCCGCGCACACACTGCCCGAATCGTCAGCAATCAACGGCACCACAGCGACAACTTCGACCTTCAAGCTCCCAAATGGCTTCAACACAAGCAAGTGCGACGACCACTATTCAAGCTTCAACGACTTCACCCGGACAACCTGCACAAGGAGCAAGAAATATAATCAACTGCATGACGAAGATAACCGATTCATGTACAACCGAATCACCACCACACTACTCACCGGAAGAAGAGCTTGACAACAGAACGCCTCGCCGTGAGCTACTCCAGCCGAATCCAACGTACGCCGCTATCGCTCAAAGTGAACCGTCCGGCCAAGACACCTGGTTCTTGGACAGTTGCTGCGGGCAACACATGTGCTCGTCCGGGCGTTTCGTACAACGCGAACATCGACTCCAACGGGAAGTGATCATCACGGTTGCCAACAACCAAAACCTGCGCACACGAAGACAAGGAGTGGTACAGCTTCAGTCAAGAGAAACAAATGTCATACTGCACATGTCTAAGGTACTCATCGCTGAAGGACTCGGCTACAACTTACTGAGCGTTAGCCAGTTGATGGCGAAAGGAATTCATCTGGAAGCCGACAGCACGACCCAGGAGTTCAAACTTTACCACGGGAGAGGCGGTCTCTACATCGGGAAAGCAGTGCTGAAGAACAACGTCTTCGTCCTTGACTTCGTTCCTGACCTGGGCACTGCAGACAGCGACGCCATCGTGAATTTCACTGACTGGACACACCCTCCGGATCTCGACCCCGACTTCAGCCCAGGAGGCTTCTGGTACTCGCACACCATTCCTGAAGCAGAACGAACACGAGCATTAGCAACAATTCGACAATCGGCAGCAGTAACAACATCGGCAGCAGCAACAACATCAGCAGCAGTAACAACATCGGCAGCAGCAACAACATCAGCAGCAGTAACAACATCGGCAGCAGCAACAACATCAGCAGCAGCAGGAACAACGACACCAGTCACAGTCGACGAAGCACCACCAACACCCGCGAAACAGCTGAATCCGACTCAACGTGAAGTCCACCGAAGCGCCAACCTCGTCGCCAGCTTTTACTCCAACTCCGACGCATATCAGCGTTCACCTGGACACCGTGCCTCTGAAGAGATCTGGCACGCACGAACAGGACATCCAAGTAACACGGTTTTGAATAACACGATAAGAGCAGGAGTCCTTGACAAAGATTCTCTACTTCTACCCGATGGCAGAGAACTCCAGAAGGCACGAGGGACTTGCCTTATATGTCCCGAAGCTGACTTACCTCATCGACCGTTTGCTTCACATCACAACCCGAGCGCTCCAGCGTACGCACCACTCGAAAAAGTCTACAGCGACATCCTCTACAATCGCGAGCCAGGACAAGTCAACTACAACTACACCATCACCTTCATCGACGCCGCCACTCGATACGTCTGGCATCGCAACCTACCCAGCCGCGACATGGCGCTCGCAGCATTCGCCGCCTGGCTACCGATAGCAGAGAGAGAGTCTGGAACACAACTGAAAAAATTCCAGTCAGACGGAGGTGGCGAGTACACCTCTCACCGCTTCAAGCAGTTCTTGGCGGAAAGGGGGATCAAGCAACTCCTCTCCCTTCCTTACGCACATCAGCAGCAAGGTGTTGCAGAACGACTGAACAGGACCCTGCAGAACAGCATGCGCAAACTATTACGTGGCATGCGGCTACCCAACCACCAGTGGCCAGCAGCAATGGACCACGCTGTCATGCTACACAACTTGTTGTCGTCGTCGTCACTCCCGAACAACGCATCACCGCATCTGCTGTGGACAGGGAAGCAGGGCAGCACGAAAATGTTACGAGTTTTCGGGTGCATGGTACAGTACAGACCCCCAGAAGCACGAGCGGGAAGATTTTCGCAACGGGCACAGTGGGGACTACACCTCGGCATCGAGAAAAATTACAACGCATGGAAAATCTTCGACGTCCACACAAAGGAAACAGTAGCAGCACGTGACGTGATCTTCTACGAAAGACTCACCCTTCAGACGTACCTCGCCAACTTGCACGAGAATCGGGACCTCACCAGTGGTTTTCGTGGTGACCGAGCCTTCGCGTCAGCAGCGGACGAAGCAGACTGGGATGAACAGAACGTCGACAACGCCTCAGAAGAAGCCGGACCTCTCCCATACTGCTCCGTCGACGTGCCCATGGATGAGGATAATCCTCGCGACAGTAACAACGCCGAAATCTTCTACCGTTTCGCCGACGATGGTTACGTAACACCTGTGACAGTCAACACCAACGAAGCAGAAAGGGTAGGGCCAAATTTCATGCCCGACCCAGAAACGGGAGACGAAGCAGCTTATCCCGAGGATCCAGAACTCCCTCGATACTCACAGACTGGGCTGCAAATCCTCGGCCTCGTCACCGCAGTCCACGGGAACACACGCAGCTCGCTTCCTAAGGAGCCTGCAACGGTTCAGCAGGCTCTGGGGGGGGAACACAGGGAGAAATGGCGTGAAGCCATGGATAGAGAACTGAAGGCATTAGAGGAACGCAACACTTGGAAGGTTGTTCCCGTAAGCGTGGCACGGAACAAAACCATCCTTACCGGGAAATGGGTCTTCCGCATCAAGACGAAAGCAGACGGCACGATCGAAAAATTCAAAGCACGCTGGGTCGTACGTGGATTCGACCAAGAGCAAGGACGAGACTTCACCGAGAC